GGTGGAGAGGGAGGGAGGAAGGCGGCGGGGGTGGGGGGAGGTATTCAAAGAAGTCGATTTTGTCTTTTTCTCCCATTTTCGATGGGGGTGGGGAATGGTAGAAATACACAGTCACAGAATCGAAATGAAGGTCTGACTGAGGGTTGCAGGATAATAAGAGAGGAAAGGGAACACAGCACGAAAGGACACTGCAACATCTTAGGGGAAGCAGTAGATTTAGCCATCCAGTATTTGGTCTAAATGTAATAATTATGCATGCACTGGGAGGTGTTTCTTGTACGCATACATGCCTATATACAAGCGGTCAGAACTCAAACACATGCATGTCCATTCCCCAAAACCCCTTTACTCTTCTGCAAGATGCCTGTTATTTCCCTCTTTGCAGTCAAGTAAAGGAAGCCTGTTATATTTCTACTTTGGGGAAACTTCTCACTTCTTTTCCTATTTACAGACAAGTTTTTGAACTAAATGTAAACCTGATTCTTGTTGTCCTCATCTCTTATCCACTTTAGTTTTTTTTTCTTCTTTCACCTTTCTACCTTCCTTTCTTCCCCCCCCCCCCCCCCCCCGCCAATCTGGTTCTCAGTCTATTTTAGCATAGAAAAAAACCACACACACGTATTTGACAATAAGGGATCTTACCTTGGGTAGAAAGTCCTTGTTGAATATACATAACTGAAAAGAAAATGAATCCAACATAAGCTAGAAAGATCCCCATCATTCCAAGATGAAGAAGTCACATCAGGGTAAAAAAAAAAAGCCAAAGATGCCCTCAAAAAAAAAGAAAGAACTGATGTATGAGTGTATGTACGTATCTCTAAATGTATGAACAGAAAGAAATTTCTAATGTTACAAAAAGGCTCTGTATTGTAGCCCTAGCTGCGACACTGGCAGCATTCTGCTACTCGATGGAGTCTTTTTCCTTGAGAAGAGCGAGTATTGCAACACAGTGTGGTTCAGATGAGCTGTCTCAGGCGCTGTGTTGCTTGAAGTCCAGACTCAGACTAAAAAAACACAAACCGTTGAAAAGTGGGTATCAGCTGCTTTCTGCGCCTTTTTTCAGCTACCTGGCAGCTTCGCCCAGCGTCAGCTCTTGCTGCTCAGGATGTCGTGATGACTGCCCTCCCTACACACTGATCCAGTTTGGGAAGAGAGGAGTAGGGGAAAGAAAGGGGGGGGGGGAGGGGAGGAAAGAGAAGTCTACCGTGCTTGCATTGCTTCAACTTTTCCCTCTAATGGCTGCGATAATGTCTTTAACCCTTCCCTCTCCCTCCCCAGTCTCTACACCTCTCTACCTGTTCTGACTTCTGCTGGCTCTGATGCTGGGGTAAAGCTGCGGGGGTTTTGTCGCTTTTTTTTTTTTTTTTCCCAATAGTGTACAGTTTATGATCGTAGAGAGAGAAGGGAGCCTTTACCGTACTGATGTAATCTTCGGTCTTACATCCCAAAACACTCAGTGGCTAAGAGGGCAATGCAGTGGTTTGATTTTTGGTGAGTTAAGCTGTTTCTGTTTTCTCCTTTTCCTCTCCCTTTTACAGAGTCTGAGGGGAAAATAGTTACTCAGTAATCCTATGGCACTCACTACTGCCTGCTCCAAATAACTATTCTTCTAGCAAATTACACTAAAATGTTCTTCATTTTGTCTTCAAAGACAGATAAAGAGGAGGATACTTAGAGTGAGTTTAGGTGGCATTATACAGATTTCTGCAGAAAAAATATTTAGCTAGATAAAAATAGATTTTGATATGTTACAGATTATTCACAGTAATATGTATATATATTTATGTACACCAGAGAAGGTGTTTACAGCATATTAAAGAATGTTTCCTCCTGCAGTGAATGTTTTCCTCCCTGTTTCCTGTTTTCTGCCTATGTATATTAATACTGTTTAGATGAGAGTAACCTTGACTGTATTAGGTGATCAAAACACCTTGAAACACGTCTGCACTGAGAGAAGTTCTCTGACTGAAGTAGTCCTGCTACTCGTGGTAAGAAGACATCTAGAAAGTGCTTGTTGCATGAAGCAATCACCAAATACCTTCTTAAGGCTGAGACAAAGACTAAATAGAAACTGAAAAGAACACTTGATAATCTCTCAGACTGCCAAATAGCTGAATGTAACTGCTAGTCACAAACTGAAAAAAGCTACGAGCCATACTGAATTAAGAGAATTTTGTCTCCATGGGCAATATGTTTTTCTGCAACAGAATAAGTTCTATCATTCCTGGCAATAGAAGTGCAGCAGTTCCACAATAGTACAAGATGCAACTTTCACCTTACTCACTGCACCAGCCAAATTATTGTATGCATATAAGACATCTGACATAGCTGCAGAGTTCTCCTTCACAGGACTAATTCTAACTGACTGGAAAAAACCCTTTTTGTCTACATTTTAATTTTTTTTTTCTAATAATTGCATGAGTTTTCATCTTTATTTATGAAAATAAGGGAGCCATTTCCCCATGGTAATACCCTATTCCACCATTGTCATATATAAAGCATAGCAATAATTCTGAGTCAAAAATTAGTAAAATAAATCAACTATCATAAATCAAGTAGGAAAACAATTATGTTACCTGAAAGATTTCCTATTACCACAGAGTTTTAATTACTTCAGAGGAGGTCATGATGGATATATTCAAAACCAAAGAAAGCCTGTAAAACAAAAGAAAAGCACTAGTCTTTAAAAGTGGTGGACCTGAATTATCTGAAACAGCCAAGAATTGTCAGTGGTTCAGGGATTAAACATACACTGTAAAGGTCTTTACAGGTTCAGATGGTGAATGTTTCAATAATTTCTATAAAAGAAATCAGTTCCTTTTCAGATTGGTAGCCAAAATCCTAAGTCATTCCTGAAAATGAAGGCTGATTATAGGATTCACTTCAAACCCATGTACGTCATCAGTAATCAGCTGAAATTACAAATTAGAGACATAATATCACCCGTCAAGTTAAATGTAAATTAGACAGAAGGAAAAAGAATCTAAGCAGTATCTCCTGTTTTAGAGGGAAAGCAGAAAATAAAAGTAGATCACTTTTTTCTCTTTTATTTGCCTATTTCAATTCAAACCACTTGATAGGTAAATTTAATTTTAGCAGTTTGTAATTTAGAAAGAAGAATATTTCTCCCAAATACCCTGTAGTCAATGGAACTAATTAAAATTATATTGCTGTCACAGGGACATACAAGATTATGTATGTGGTTATTAATATATCAGAATTGAGGATGTATTAGGAAATAGATTTAATTGAAAGAATCTTAAAACTTGGTTACATAGTTATTATTTTTATTTTATTTATGTGCTGCAGCAAGCCATATGATTCTGTCAAATACTTTAAGTAGAAAGAAGAAATAACCCACCTCATGCTGTCAATGTTAAATTTCACCCTGATGGATGTGAATCCTCCACAGTCAACCATTCTCTATTAATCTAGTCAGTGAATGAGTCTAGTTACTTAGTGTGAAATCTCTGCCTTTTGTGCTGTAGAAAGTTTTGATGTAGCCTAACTTAAGGATGCTTTATGGCAGGAGTGATATGGTATATGTGATATGTGATATGGTATATGTGATATGGTATATTTTTTCTCACTCTCAATGACTGTAATAGATGAGTCATCACTGGACATTCTCTCAGGTCATAGCCAGAACATTCATGCATGGGGGAATATTTTCAAATATGCCAATGAAATGTAATAATAATAGAAGACTCATTTATGATGCTGTGGAGTTGAATTATGTAGATCTTGTATCTTACTACTACTTCAGTACATGTTCCAGATCAAATGTTCCTTCAAAATCTTAAATGCCCATGCATGTTCACCATTCTGCCCAGCTTGCAGATCCTGGATCTATGCATCTGTTTTAACTATTAAGGAAAAAATGTTTATGGAGATTATGATTCCAAACTCAATAAAGGTTAGAAATGAAAGCTATTGTGCTGCTAGTCAGCAATAAGGTTGGAGTGCTTTGGTCCCATAAAGCCATGCCAGTATGGGCTGCCTAGCCCTGCAAGAAGCTGATCAGCTGATGACTTAAACAATGGCTGAGTGTTGCCATCCAACAAGCTCAGTTAAAAATTAAAACAAAAAAGTTACTTTAATATTTTGACTGATATTTTCAGCTTTCTTTTTGGTGATTATTTCAAATATTTCTTTACTATTAAAAGGGAAAATTTGTATTGTCTGATGAAATTTGTAATTTTTAGAAGTTAAAAAGGAGGTTGATTCTCTTTATTGAGGATTGCTCTTTGGTTTTGTTAACCCAAGTGCTTATTTGAGCCTCTCTCAGGATGTCACTGTTGCCTCTTGCAACTCCCCCTGCAATTAGAATCTGGGGAAGCAGAAGAAAAGCAAGAAAAAAGAAAGATTTGACAAGGAGATGAGGCACCAGCGAAGGGGTTGAAAGTTAGTAAATGTCAAAATAAAGTTTGTCCATCAGCTTAATTCATTCCTTTCATTTACAAGCAATTATGATGCACTTTAGGTGAATGCCTCTTATTCTTGACTTTGGCTCATGCTTCACTCAGCAGTCAAAATTCTCCTAGTATAAGAATGGCTTCTTGCTCAGGTCCAGAAAATAAAAGATACTGTAATATATAGTACTCATACTTTAAAAGTATTGAAAGAGAATGGATGCCTTCATCTCAGGGCAGCTAAGTTCTGGCTTGGAGAAGCAGAACCTCTCTCTGACTGCCAGAGGTCCTGGGGGATGCTCCACAGTCCCTTACATCACAGAGGGTCCATAAGAGTGTGCTTCTCATTTCTGAATGCCTGCCTCAGGATCCTGATGGTTGAGATGAAGAAGCACCGAGCAGTCACAGCTGCAATTAAAGTGAACGGGTGCTGTGATTGAAGGTGCAGATTATTGTAAAATGTGACAAAACCCCACAATCTGGACCCTGGGTAACTTAGCATTGATCGTTGTCTATGTGTCTCTGCTGTCTGTCTGTAAAGTGGAATATATTACTGTGTCACTTCAGAGAGGTCTTGTTGAGACAAATTAACTCTCAAGAAGCTCTCAAAGATTTGCATGATGAGCATCATAGGGACGCCCAGAAGAAAACGCATAATTCTGCCTTCAGCTCAAGATTTGAGTGGTGTGCATGGATGAGGCCTAGCAACACACACTGAACAATAAAAATAAACAAAATGTCAAAGACCTGCTGATTAATTGAATTCCATTCTTTACATACTCTAAATGAGGTGGGCTAAGATCTAGAAGAAATCCCTATGTCATGGTGTATTTAAAGACTACATGATTTTACATATGAAGGGAGGCAGTTTAAGACTTGCTTTGCTGTCTTTGAGTACTTGATTTTGCAACTTTAAAAATGTTCTTTCAGTACAGCTTTTTACTTACTGCAGAACATTTTATGGCTCTACCATTGTCTCTCTCTACCATTAGGTAGCTGGGAGAAAAGGCCACAGGACCTTAAAATGAGACTTTAGGCATCAATCCAAATGCTTTCTCCTAGTTTTCTCTTTGCTTTTATTAGAGAAAAAAAAAGCTGTTTTAAGCACATTCTGTACCCTAGGTTTATGGAAAACAGGCAAAGCTAAACATACTATGCAGAAAACCTTGATAGTGCATTACTTTTCTTATGAACCTCCTCCTTTTTTTTTCCTCCTCTTGTCCTTTTTTTTTTTCCCAGTTGGTTCATAGTCAGAATAATGTAGAAGTATCTTTATAGTATGATAAATTCATTCTGATTTAAGCAAGTTTTTAAAAACTGGTACCATGTGATCAGATCTTTTTAGCATATCAAACAAAAAAATTAGATGTAGAAATGCTATTGTAGGATTTTATAATGCCTGAATCATGGGTGTTGACTGCAGTTTTTCTGAATTCAGTCTTCACTGAAATCCCAGTTTGATTTTCCCTTTTTTCCTCTTGGTGTCCTTGAGAGTGTTACACCCAAATACAATAGTAGCTGAGGTGGTTTCTTGGAAGAAAGGCATACTGGAGGTTAGACAGTGACTGGGTGGTTTTCTCCATGTTATTCAGTGTGCTGTTACTGAGGAGTGTATCACCATGTTCAAAAGAATGGGGAAGACTGGAGACAACTGTCAAACTGGTCAGAGAGAAAACTTCATTCCTTTCTTTGAAGGCAAATAATACTCTGCCCATGAAAGAAATACTTTTTTTTTTTTTTTAATGTGGAGTTGGCCCCAAAATTTACTTGATTCCTTAAGATTTGTCAGTTTGGTGAAGGAAAAGTGTTCTCACAGTGCTAAAAAAGCAGACTTAATTATCTTAAAGGAGTAACAACAGGATACTTCCTGGTGAATTAGCATTTTTT